ATAAAAGCCACACTTTGCAGGATGAAATCAGTATGCTAAAACTGGAAATAATACAATGAAAAATAAAACCAAGGAAAAAGAAAGACCATTGAAATTTTAGAAGAAATGAATGATTTTCTGCGAGAAACAATACAACTGAGTGAGGAAGACTTAAAAATGGTATTTCAACATTGTGAACAACTTCTTTGTTCTAAAGTGTGAAATATTTGCTAAGCACTCAATTGGAAATGAAAAACTAAAAAGAAACTGAAATCAGAAGTTGAATCCTGCCGTCGTAGACAGGATGCTGCTGTACAGATCGTGGTCAAAGTCACAAGTCCGAGAGAGACCTAGAATGTCATTTCCAAGGGACAAGAGAGGAGAAGCTACATTTAGAGGAGAGATTATCCTCAAATACAAAGGAAAAACATGTTGCTTCAACAGCAACTGAATGAGGCTTACAAAATGACAAATAAGAGGAGATATTAGTGAATATTCAAGGCCAGCTTCAGGACTATAAGAGGCTTCAATGAAAATGAGAAGCAAAGACAAAGTTGAGTTAATTGATGATGTAATCGTTTAAAAATAAGAACATATAAGTATGAAGAGGAAAAAGCAGCAAGAGAAGTAAGTATTCCATTAAGAATGATATTTTTCAAACTTTCTGAAGGAAAACTCAAAAGAAGTAATTGGTTAAGGCTAAAGATGAATTAGTGAATGTGAGAAATATATAGACTCTATAATCATATTTGCTTTGTCAGCTTACAACATCTATTGTGTTCAGTAAATAAAATTAGACTTGAGAGGTGCTTTACACAATACAAAGGCATGGAGTCACCTATGAAATTTTATTTTATTTTATTTTATTATTTTTTTAAAGATTTATTTATTTTATACAAGAAGCTGGCGTACAGGTCAAGGCGTGGGAGGGTGAGAGGATTCACCAAAGACAAAATGGGGAGCAGATAGGCAGATGACTGAAATATACTGCTGTGCCTCAATAATTTTAATAGACTTTTTTATATCAACATGTATTTTTAAAATTATTACTGAGTAGTATTGCATTGGAGAGATTTACTACAATTTGCGTATCTAATCACCCTTTTTGTCCTCAATTTTTTTTTTAATTTTTATGTTCCCTATACAATTGCAACCCCCTTATTTTGACCCAGCCCCTCCTTTCCCCCTCCCCCATAGTGTGTCTCTGGTTCATAGTTGTTTGTTGATTTTGATTTTTTCTTTCTTATAGTTATTCTTTTTCCTGGTCCCTTATTTAGTTTTCTAGATTCCTGCTATGAGTGAGACCATCCAGTATTTTTCTTTTTCTTTCTGGGTTATTTCGCTGAGCATGATCCCTTCCAGCTCCACCCATGTTGCTGCAAATTGCATGTGTTTATCTTTTTTGAATGCTGAGTAATATTCCATGGTGTATATGCACCACATCTTCTTGATCCAGTCATCTATTTTTGGGCATTTGGGTTGTTTCCAAAGCTTAGCTATTGTAAACAGTGCTGCTATAAACATAGGGGTGCAGGTGCTCTTTGGAATTAATGTTTCTGTGTCCTTTGGGTAAATACCTGGAGTGGAATTGCTGGATCATATGGAAGCTCTATCTTTAGTAGGTCGAGGAATCTCCACACACCTTTCCATAGTGTTTGGACAAGTTTGTACTCCCACCAAGAGTGCAGGAGAGTTCTTTTTTCTCCACATCCTCACCAACATTTGCTGTTGCTAGTTTTTTTTAATATGTGCCATTCTGGTGTGAGATGGTATCTCATGGTAGTTTTGATTTGCATTTCCCTGATTACAAGTGATGTTTAACATTTTTTCATATGCCTGTTGGCCATTTGTATTTCCTCTTTGGAGAAGTTTCTTTTTAGCTCTTCTGTCCATTTTTTGACTGGATTACTTTCTTTATTTTGTTGAGTCTTATCAGCTCTGTAAATTTTTGAGATCAGTCCTTTCTCATTAGTGTTGTGTGTAAAAATTTTCTCCCAGTCCATGGGGTTTCTCTTTGTTTTAGTTATTGTTTCTTTCGCTGTGCAGAAGCTCTCTAATCTGATGTAGTCCCAGCTGTTTATCTTTGCCTTTACTATCACTGCTTTGGGCGATGTGTCTGTAAAGATGTCTTTGAGGTGCATGTCATGTAGTGGTTTGCCTATATTTCCTTCTGTATATTTTATGGTTTCAGGTCTTATGTCTAATTCTTTAATCCATTTTGAGTTGGTTTTTGTGCATGGTGTGAGTTAGTAGGCAAGTTTCATTCATTTGCACGTAGTGACCCAGTGATCCCAGCACCATTTATTGAACAAACTTTCTTTGCTCCAGTGCATATTCCTGCTCCTTTGTCAAAGATTAGTTGACCATAAATCTGTGGGTTTATTTCTGGTTTTCTTTTTGGTTCCATTGGTCTGTGTGTCTGTTCTGGTTCCAATACCATGCAGTTTTGATTATTATTGCTTTGTAGTATAGTTTGAAGTCTGGGAGTGTGATTCCTCCATTCCCTTCTTTTTTTTTTTCAGGAGGGTTTTGGATATTTGGTGTTTTCGTGGCTCCATATGAATTTCATCAATATTTTTCTATATCTTTGAAGAATGACATTGAAATTTTAATTGGAATAGCATTGAATCTGTAGATTGCTTTTGGTACAATGGCCATTTTGGTAATGTTAATCCTTCCGATCCATGAGCAGGGGATGTCTTTCTATTTCTTTGTGTCTACTTCTATTTCTTTTAATAGCCTTTTATAGTTTTTTTTTGTTTGTTTGTTTGTTTTTTGTTTTTTTTGTTTTTTTGTATAGGTCCTTTACCTCTTTTGTTAGGTTTATTCCCAAGTATTTGATTTTTTTGTTTCAGTAATAAAAGGTATGGTTTTCTTGAATTCTTCTTCTTCAGATTTATTGTTTGTGTGTAGGAAGGCTACTGATTTTTGTGCATTGATTTTGTATCATGCCACTTTACTAAACTGATTGATTAGTTTAATTAGTTTTGGGGTTTTTTTTAAGTTTTTTTTTTTATTTATACAAGCACTGGGTACAGTGAGAAGCGTGGGAGGGTGAGAGAATTCACCAGAGCCAGAGCAGGCAGCAGAGCAGGCAGAAGGACTGAAGTACACTGCTGAGGGGAGCAGTGGGCATGGCAGGAGAGGTCTGCGTGCCTTGTGGGACCCCACTCCAGGGCCAGGGAGCAGCCAGGGATCGAACTGGTGCTGTAGAGGCTGCGGGCAGCTTCAAAACCCAGCACTCAACTGCTGCGCCACCGGGGAGGCCCTAGTTTAATTAGTTTTTCTGTGGAGTTTTGGGGTTCTCTATGTATATTATCATATCGTCCACAAATAGTGATAGTTTAAATTCTTCCTTGCCTATTTGGATTCCTTGTATGTCTTTCTCTTGTCTTATTGCTGTGGCTGGGACTTCCAGTATTATGTTGAAAAGCAGTGGTGAGAGTGGACATCCTTGTCTTGTTACAGATCTTAATGGGAATGATTTCAGCTTTTCAACATTGAGAATGATATTGGCTGTTGGCTTGTCATTGATGGCCTTTATGATGTTGAGGTATGTTCCTTGTATCCCGAGAATTTCAAGGGCCTTTATCATGAATGGGTGTTGTACTTTCTCAAATGCTTTCTCAGCATCTATGGATATTATCATGTGGTTTTTATATTTCTTTTTGTTGATGTGTTGGGTTATGTTGATTGATTTTTGGATGTTGAACTATGCTTGTGTCCCTGGAATAAATCCTACTTGGTGAATTATCTTATGGATGCATTGTTGGATTCTGTTGGCAAGGATTTTATTGAGGATTTTTGCATCAATGTTCATTAGGGAGATTGTCCTGTAATTTTCTTTTTTTGTGCTGTCTTTGTTGGGTTTTGTTATTAGTGTAATGTTGGCTTTGTAGAATGCATTTGGTAGTATTTCTTCTTTTTAAATTTTTTGAAAGGGTTTATGCAGGATAGGCACTAATTCACTGCTGAACATTTGGTAGAATTCATTTGTGAAGCCATCTGAGCCTGGGCTTTTGTTTTTGGGGAGTGCTTTGATTACTGCTTCAATTTCGCTGCTTGTAATTGGTCTGTTTAGTTGTTCTATTTCTTCTTTGTCCAGCTTTGGATGATTATATCGTTCTAGGAATTTGTCCATCTCTTCTAGGTTGTTGAATTTGTTTGCGTATAAGTTTTCATTGTAATCTATGATTATTCTTTTGATTTCTACTGAGTCTGTTGTGATTTCTCCTCTTTCATTTATTATCCTATTTATATGTGTTTTCTCCCATTTTTTTCTTTGTGAGCCTTGCTAGAGGTTTGTCTATTTTGTTTATATTCTTTCAAAGAACCAACTTTTGCTTTCATTGGTCTTTTGGTTGTTTTTTTAAATATCCATTTCATTTATTTCTGCTTTGAGTTTTATTATTTCCTTTCTTCTACTGGCTTTAGGGTTTTTTGGTTGTTCTTTTTCTAGTTCTTTGAGATGTGAGATTAGGTTGTTTCTTTGAGTTCTTTCTTGTTTGTTGATGTGAGCCTGTATTGCTATATATTTTCCTCTTATTACTGCTTTTGCTGCATCCCATACATTCTGGTAAGTGGTGTCCTCCTTGTCATTCAACTCAAAGTATTTTTTAATTTCTTCTTTGATCTCCTCATTGGTCCAGTGGTCTTCCAGTAGTGTGGATTTCAATCTCCATGAAGTGAGAGGGTTCCTTGTTTTCTTGTCATGATTTATTTCTAGCTTGATGCCTATATGATTGGAGAAGATAGTTGGAATGATTTTGATCTTCATGTATCTGTTGATATTTGTTTGTGGCCCATTATGTGATTGATTCTGGAGAATGGTCCATGCACACTTGAGAAAAATGTGTACTTGGATTTTTTTGGGTGCAGTGTCCTATAGATGTCTGTTAAGACTGTGAGTTCTATGTCTTTATTTAGGTCTGTAGTGTCTTTGTTTATTTTTTGTCTTGTTGATCTGTCGGTTGGTGAGAGTGGGGTGTTGAAGTCTCCCATTATATATGTATTTTCTTTAATATCTGTTTTCAGAGCTGATAATAATTGTCTAATATATTTTGGTGCCCCTTCATTTGGTGAGTATATGTTGATGAGTATTATATATTACTGATATATTGTCCCCTTGATCATAATGTAGTGTCCATCTATGTCTCTTTTTACTTTTTTTAATTTGAAGTCTATTTCATCTGATATAAGTATGGCTGTTCCTGCCTTCTTTTTTGGTCCATTTGCTTGTAGGATTGTTTTCCACCCTTTTACTTTCAGTCTGTGTTTATCTTTTGTGGTTAAATGTGTTTCCTGGAGACAGTAGAAGGTTGGATTTTGTTTTTTTAATCCAGCCTGCTACTCTGTGTCTTTTTATTGATGAGTTTAATCCATTTACATTTAGAGTTAATATTGATATGTTGGCTTCTGTGTTTGCCATTTTGTTTGGCTTTTTTGTGATTTTATTCCTTGCTTTATTCTGTTCTTCTTGTTCATTCCTCTGTTGGTTTTGGCTTTAGGACTTCTTGTAGAATTTTTTGGAGTGGGGGTTTAGTTGTAATGAATTTCTGGAGTTTCTGTTCGTCTGAGAAGGTTCATATTTTTCCTTCGTAGAGGAAGGAGAGTTTTTCAGGGTAAAGTATTCTGGTTGATGTTTGCTGTGTTGAAGTTTGCTGAATATGTTATTCCATTCTTTTCTTGCCCGTAATGTTTCTTCGAAGAAGTCAGAAGTTAACCTGATTGGTTTTCCCATATAAGTTATCTTTTCTTCCTCCTTGCCAGTTTCATTATTTTTTCCTTGTCTTGGACACTTTCAAGCTTACTACTAGGTATCTTGCTGTGATTTTCTTTTCATTATGGTAACTGGAAGTTCTTCTCACTTCTTGTATGTCTATATTCATTTCCTTTTTCATGCTTGGGAAGTTTTCTTCAATTATCTCCTTGAATAATTTCTCAGTTCCTTTGTCTCTCTCCTCACCTTCTGGAATGCCTATAACTCTTACATTTCCTCTCTTCATGGAGTCTGATAATTGTCTAAGAGTCTCCATATACTGTTTCATTTGCACTTCTCTCTCCTTTTCTCTTTTTGCTCTTTTTATTTCTGTATCTTCGATAGTACTAATCTGTTCTTCCATTTCATCGATTCTTTTTTCATTGCTTTTCCCAGAGTTTTATCTCCTCTAGTAATCTTTTTATCTCCTGCATTTCTTTTCTTTCCTTTCTTAGGTCTCATTCCTTTCTTAAGTTTCATTCTTCAGTTCAGTGATTATTTGTCTCAAATCATTTTCTTTCCTTTTGATTTTCTTTCTGCTTTTTAATCAGGATGATTATTAATTCCCTATCTGATAGGCCGAGAAGTTCTTCCGTGTCATTGTTGAGTTCTGGTGACTGTATTTCTTTTTGTGTTGTGTCCTCCTGTGGGCTTGCTTGGTTATTTATGTTTTTTCTTTTTTTTTTTTTTAAACACATTTTTTTTTTTTATTTATAGAGGCATGTTTTTATTTATTTATATGTTTGTTTTGTTTATACATGCACTGGGTACAGTCAGAAGTGCGGGAGGGCAAGAGAATTCACCAGAGCCAGAGCGGGGAGCAGAGCAGGAAGAAGGACCAAAGTACACTGCTGAGGGGAGCAGCGGGCAGCAGGAGAGGTCTGCACGCCATGTGGGACCCTCCTCCGGTGGCCGGGGAGCAGCTGGGGATCGAACCGCTGCGTCACAGAGGTCGCCGGCAGCTTCGCAACCCAGCGCTCAACCGCTGCGCCACCGGGGAGGCCCGGTTATTTATGTTTTTTCTTCTCCCTGTTGTTTGCTTTCTAATTAGTTCTATGCGTTGGGACGCTGTGCCACTGGTGTTGGTGGGCATCTCTTTGGAGTGCTCCTTTAAGGGTGTCGGAAACTGTTTACCAGACTGAGACCAGCACTGGTAGGCCAAAACTCCACCCGGCGTTGATGCTGTGAGCTGGGCTCTGTCCCTTACATTCCCTCCCTCTATATTTACTCAGTTCCAACAGAGAATCAGCTAGTTAGTGATTTAGTTCTGGTAGCGAGGTGGCACCAGAGGCCCATACTTGCTGACCCGTGCTTTTTCCGAGTGGTTCTCTGAGTAGCAGAGGGGGTGCAGAGGGGAGCATCACAACACGGGCTCTTATTCAAGCTGGGTGCTGTGTCTGCCCTGTGTTCACCCGGTGTTCTTCCACTGCTGTATGAATCCCGCACCCTGAATTCTGCACTCTATGTCTCAGTTCCTGGGCTATCAGATCCAAAACACTGGCTGTCACCCTGTGCAGTGCCCACTGCTATGGCACGTCCCACGCCCTGGATCCTGTGCCTAGCTCTCAGTTCCACGATGGGGTCTTGCTCCGCACCTTATTTCCCTCCTTATCCCCGTTTGTGTGGCCCACATGCTCTCAGTGCCTGAGAGAGGGTTTCCAACTATAGGGTGTTGGTGATTTTTTTCTGGTCGCTAGTTGGCCCCAGAGCTCTTTGCTAGTGACCTTAGGGAACTGTATTTTTTACCCCGTGGGAGTGACGTGGAGTGCCTCAACGGCATGGGGGTCTGCGTCTGCCTTGTGCCCCACCATTGTGAGGTTCCCATGCCCCAAATTTCATGCCCCGGGTCTCAGTTCCAAAACCCTCAGGTCTAGGATGCGGGCTGTAGCCCAGTTCAGTGTCTGCAGAAATGGTGCCTTTTGCACCCTGCTCCCATATCCGTGTGCCTGATTACTTAGTGAGGGAGATTCACCTCAATGAGGGCTCCTGAGCATCTTCCCTCAAGCCTAGGTCGCAGGCTCGGGGACCTGGGCAGTTGCATCCCGCGTATGCTTTTCAAGTGCACCGCTTTTCCACACAAGCTTACCAGCTGACCTTGGACTATTTGTAGGTCTCCTCAGAGTCTTTGTTTTCTCTAATCTCACCTATGAAATTTTAAAAGGCCAAACAATAAGTTGTCAATAGGTACAGACTGATATTAATAACTTTGTCATTCTGCTAAAATAAAAATATGAATCTTTGTAATCCCAGTTTTGTACTATGATGAGGCAGGGAGGTAAAATTGCTCATACCTAAAATGAATATTTTGGAATTAATAGTCAAGTAAGTGTATTACCTTGACAGTCAAGGTTTTCCAGATTTTTCAGATGAACTGAGATGTAGAGGCTGCATCTCATAGAACTTTTCTTTCAGAACTTTACTATTTTTTTTTTTTTGGTTATTTTAGATAACAGTTGATATAGCTTTATTTTTACTCATGTCAGTTTGAATTGAATTTGAAAATATTTTAGTCTCAAATTATGTGTTCTAAAGACCTGCTCAGCACTTTAAAGGCATCTATTTTTCATGAAATTATAATTTGAGACAAATGTTGGCAAAATTCTGATTTAATCTTCTCACTGTGATTTATACTTTGAACATTTTTATAAATAATTTCTCATAATTCTCATTTTAAGGCTCAATTATTATCATTTGGACCTAGATTATCCAACACTAAGAGAATTGTATAACTCTGTGATATGTTACTTTGGCCCCAGACCCCCATTTTCAGACAAATGAGGGGTGGCAGTGTAGGAGGGAAAATTTGTAGGGGTTGAGGTCAGGAAGGTAGGTGGAGGCAGAGTCCTAAGTGTCTTGAAGGCCATTGGAATGTCTTCACTTTTATTCTGAGACAGAAGGATTTAAGCCGAGAATTGAAGTTAATGTAAAGATCTAATACAAAAGAGGGAAAATGTTCCCCAGTGTGGAATTTGCCACCATTAGTCTCACCTCCATCTCCACTTCCCTTTGAGAGTTTCAGTGGGTTGTCAAGTTTTGCAAATTGATCAGGGAAGAATGGTTAGGGGTTTGAATCTGTTGTCTAAGCTACATAGCAGTTTAGGCAAGAGGATAACAACTTCTATTACTTGAACTGAATTCAGTAAACAAGAAGTTGTATGATAAAGAAGGTCAATGGATGATATTTTTCAAAGTACACATGTTAGCATTGTATATTATTAACATAATAAAGTCATATTGATATAAAATCAGGAACAGAAATATCTTATTTAGGTAGCTGCAAGAAAATATGATGATTTAAAAGTAGTACCATGCTGTCAGACTATTCTTAATTTATATTGTTCAATTACCATCTTTTAAAATTGATTCTATTATTCTTTGGATTATCAAATTACATGAGTACAACTATGGGCATGATTCAATTTCATTTCTATAATTCACAATAAATTCAGTTGATATTGGTATTTTTAAACTAACTTTTTCACATTTGAAAAATTTTTTAAAAAATTTCAATTTTTTTAAATTTATTTTTGCTTAGAAGAACCGGAGTGTAGGCCAGAGGTACAGTTGGCGGGGGTGATGATTTAAGAGATTCACCAGAGACAGAATTGGGAGCAGAACAGGTAGATTTACTGAAATACACTGCTAAGGGGAACAGCAGGTGAGATAGGAAAGGTCTGTTGCACCATGTGTGGGTTAGCTTCCTGGCCAGGGATCAAACTCAGGTCACAGTGATAGAACTGATAACTTAACCCCTATGCCACCAGGGAGGTCCTTCATGTTTGAAATTGCTCTCTGAATCACTGACTCAGAAAGAAACTTGTATAATTAACCAGATTATAAGCATTTAAAATGTTTTTTAATTTTCTTTAGGCACAAATAGAACCCCAAGAACTGTTTGGAGATACTCAGACTACTTCAATAAGTCAAATGGAAGTCAAAAATACAAATTTGGAAACTGAAAATTGCAGACTGAAAACTGAATTAGAGTCACAGAGAATAAAATTGGGAAAATACATGCAACTCTATCTAGAAGAATCAAACTCTAGAAAATCATTGCAAATTACCGTAAACACGTAAGTTGTAAAAACAGGAATTATGGGAAAGAAACTTAGTTCACTTATTTACCTCTAAAGCATAATTGTTATAGATCCAGGTTCATGTAATTACTAAGAGGTTATTATTTGGAAAATAATGTTAATAAGTGAACTTATCTTTAAAATGTTGCTGCAGGACTGTTTGAATCTCCTCTTTTGTTGATTTTACATGACTTAATTTTTAGCCCTAAATAATTTCATCTAGTTAACCTGATCTAATAGACTTTAAGATAAGGATATTTGAAACTTTATAACTTAAATAGTGTTATTGTTATAAAATTGCTTGTCATAATTCTCCCAGTAGAAATATTAATGAGTTTATTTTTTTGAAGATTACCATTTTAATTCAAGTGGTCTTCAAGTATCACTACACTTAGCACAGTTTGGTTACTGGTGAATTAATTTTCTTAATGTGATCTTTGACACTATTACTAGAGGGCACCCTGAGACAAATTATCCTTCACAGTTTTAGATTTTCTGCTCTCCAGAAAGGCCTACAAGTGAAATGAGGAAAGCTGCAGGAGGTGAAGGGTAGTATCATTTACAGACTGACTACAAATAAATATTGGGTTCTGCTTCTGCTTGAGGAGGTGTGTGGAAGCCCAAATGGGTAGATCTCAACACCAGTGCCTTTGTAACAATATTAGGGGCTTTGTTTTCCTTGGAGCTGTTTAGTTCTCTTTAGTCAGCCACCAGGCAGCTCTCCTGTTCTCCCCTAGAAGTTGTTGTTCTAAGTTAATCTTCAGTGCCAAAGGTTTAACTGTAAGAGGTACTGAGTGAAATGTGTACGGATAGTGAAAGGAAATGCTTGGCATTATCCCTGAAGCCGCCTCCAACACTGCCCACCCTCCCTGCTTTGAATTACTTATTAGGAACCCTCCCGGAAACATGGGCTTCTTTACCACACTTTTAAACCCCTAATTGTAAATAGTAGGTATGCGCCAACACGTTTTGAGTGTTATAACATTGTTTTATGGGAAATTCATGTTATGGCAACATTTGTTTTTAAAGTGCAAATTATTTAGGCAAAAATAAAATATAAGGATTTGGATTTTTCAGTCTTCACGGGGCCATCAAGAAGCTAACAGAAGTCAATACTGAACCTCTTGTGAAGGAAACACATCACGAATATGTATTCAACGCGCCTCCTCCAAGGCCAGACCTACTGCTATCTTCTGCTACACGTTCTATTAATAGTCTTAATAATCGTTTCATGCTTGATAGTTATCTTACAACAAGAGGAAATTCAACAACTTTTCCTACCTTCAACCCAAGGCCTTAAAATGAAAGCACAGACACATAACTATGACAAGGTTAGTTATATTACCTTTTGACAAATTTTATATTACCTTGGATTTCAAATTTCTGATGCAATATTCATTTGTACTTAGACAAAATTCTTAGTTGTTCAACTGACTTATTTATACACGCTAAGTAAATGTCAGTTACTTGTGCTCATAAAGTAGACATAAAATTTAAAATTACAAGTCCCTGGTGCTCTCATTTTCAAAATCACTGACATTATTGAATTAGATGTAACTAAATCAACACATTTAAAATTTCTTGAAAATCTGTGTTTAATTAGATCTTAGAAATTAAATATTAATGCTTGATAACTGAAAGTATACTTTGAGATACTTTGGCTTACTTTGTGATTGATTTCAGTTGGACTGTGGTTCATAAGAATTTTAAAGTTTCTCTGTACATTACCTGTCTCATTTTTCCACCATGCAATAAGTTTATGACTGACATCTAAACAGATGTTATCATTTACAGTAACTCCTTTTTATGAATTAAGCATAAATTAATTATTAAAAATTAATTTCTGTTGTCACTATCTTACATAAGAATACATCCTTAAGCACAATTTTATCTTTTAACATTTTTAATCTCTTTTTATAAAATATGGACCACTTCCCAAATAGTCAAATCAAACAACTATTTGAATTTTTATTTTATTTTAAAGATTTATTTATTTATATAATAGCTGGGGTATAGGCCAGAGGTGCAGGAGGCTGAGAGGATTCACCAGAGACAGTGGGGAGCAGAGCAGGCAGACTGACCGAAAGCACTGCTGAGGGGAGCACTGGGCAGGACAGGAGAGGTCTGCTGCTCCATGTGGAAATCTCCCTGGCTGGCCGGGAATCTAACCCACGCTGCAGAGGCTGGACAGCTTCACAGCCCTGTGTTCAACCCGCTGCGCCACCGGGGAGGCCAATATTTGAATTTTTAAAATCGAGTTAACTTATGTTTCTATAACTTGCAATCACTGAATGACCACTACAAGAACAATGTAAAGGAATCTTTTAATACCAGCTAGCTTTATTGGCTATCATTTGTATTAAAATTTCTACTTCAATCAATGCACATTAACTTATGGTTTTGATGGTGTTTTCATGTTCTTCTTAATGAACATAAAAGCAGCAACAGCTCATTTTAAAAGAAGTCTCACATGATTTTTTGCATTTGGGTTCTTGTCATAATAAATCATGGAACAGTAGAGCTAAGAATTCTTACTCAGCTTTGCAGCTAAATGGGTGTGGAAACTTCAAAGTTGTGAAATTAGATTATTTGATAGAGAAAGAAAATGAAAGTCAAATATGGCTTTAAATTGTTAAATATTCTTTTTCTCATGAAAATTTTAAAAAAATCAGATAATGTATCATTTTATAAGGTAGAGTACACATACAGAAGCAATGTTAGAGAAGATTTTTGAGGAAATTTCTTTGCCTGTTTTTGGGGAAGAAGTTGATTGTTTTTAATATTTTTAGATAAGTGAAAAAGCAGTTTAAGTTTAATGTTGTGGTTCCAAGTCCGTGGTCCTCTTGAAGGGCACTGGTTTGCCCAATTATGCTAGTCTTAGTAAGAAGGATCAAAAATCACTACTCTATCAAGATACAGAAAGACATGTCTCCATAATGACTTCAAATGCCTCAAAAAAGTTGTCTAAGAGTTACTTTGGAAGAGTTCTTTGTATACCTGAATATCAATCCCTTGTCAGTTGCATGCTGTGTGGATATTTTATCCATTCTGTGAGATGTCTTTTTCCTCTGCTAATATGTTCTTTTGCTGTGTGAAAGGTTTTTATTTTGATGTCATCTCATCTGTTTATTTGGCTTTTGTTTCCCTTGCCTTAAGAGTATCTCCACTCCAAAGACATCTATGTCAGTGATGCCTTGAAACCTATCAACAATGCTCACCTCTATGTATTTTATTGTTCATCCTTTATGAACTTATCATTGTACTTGGAGTTAGAGAGTGGGTCTAAGGTCTTTCTTCCCCACATGTCTGTCTGATTTTCCTGCCCCACTTGTTAAAGAGATGTCCTTTTCTCCATTGCATGGTTGTGGCGTTTTTGTCATAAATTGGGAATTGATATATGTGTAGCTGGATTGCCACGCCTCTGATTCCGTTCCAAAGCTTTGTGTCTGCTTTTATTCCTATACACTATTGTGTTAATTACTAAATCATAGTGTTTAAAATCAGGTAACGTGCCTCCATGTTTCTTCTTTCCTCAGGATTGCTTTAGCTCTATTTATTTCTGGCTCTACCCTTCCTTCACTTCTTTCATCCTGTGGAAATAGCAACCTGCACACAGAAACTTTTCTCAGAAAAGATGGGCTTCATCAGCTTCTTGTGTTTCTAGTAATAAGGTCCAAAACAAAACAAAAACCTATACTCATCGACTAGTCCTCGGTCCAGCAATAGCTGTCACTTGATAGGTGACATTTAAATCTACACTCATTTAGTTTGTCATGGGTTTATCTTTTGCCCCCAGGGGAAGTTCCAGTATCCTCAGCATGGAATAAAAGCAGCCAAATAAATTTGGGTCCTGCCAACTTACATATCCTTATCTCCCACTACTTCCTTTGCTGCCCCTTTACTTTAGCATCTGACCGACCGAGACTGTATAAAGCCACAGTGCATTACCTTCTCTACAGCTCTTTGGCTCCGCATCTCTTCTCTGTCTGGCATATCCTTGCCTTGCCCTTCAGGTATCAGTTCATATATCACCTCCACCAAAAAGCTGGAAAATAGTGACACAAAACCGTGAAGTTCCTTTTGTGTTCCAGTAGCACCCTGTTCATACCTGTCATGCTGCATACATGATCACTGAGGAGCGGACCGTGCCATCTCTGTATTGTCATTCCAGTGGTTGTCACAGTACCTTAGCACATGCTTGCTGAATAAATGAGAAATGAGAAAATCGGAAGCTCTGATCCTTAGCCACAATAACCATTGATTCAATGTGCAATGGACAAATTACATTTGCCGTCTTTTATTTTGGAATGTAGTGGCACATAAATAACATTTCATTTGAATACTGATGAAGGGCTCTGCTTTATTTTCTTTTTAACAAGTTATCTTAGTCATCGACAAAGTATTTATTTAAGAATCATTTATTTATGTATTCAAGATTATAATTCTGTGTAGTGTTTTTCCAAACATGATTTTTCAGTCATGTTCCTTCCAAGACTAGGTCACCCAGGTAAACCATTGGCTTCATCCCACAAACATGTGTGCTTTCACCTCTGGCCTCTTATTTATTTGTGCTTTTTTTTTTTTTTTTTGAATAAAGTAACCAGCCAGGTTGTCTTCTCAAAGTTCAGCTCACTGGGAGGGATTTTCTTTAAAAATGTGCTACAGGTGTCTCAGAGAGAAACCGCAGTGAGGTAGCCATGTGCATTATGATCATACCTGCACATTGTGAAGAACTAGCAAGAAAAATGCATGTGATCAATCCATAGCTGCACACCAGGTAGCAGAGGATGTGTTCATTTGTCCAAGAATTGTAACCACATCTGCGACAGCAGCTACAGTGGGAGTCACCATCTCGTTAACCATATGATAATCCATTGTCACTGTCCAAGAATATCTTCTGTGCAACACGACATCAAGCATGTGGTTGGAATCACCAACTCGGCATTTTTCGAGTTCTTCATGGTGATACTAAAGCTTGCATTTCCTCTAAAAATGTGATATTGCTTATGTCTAGGTAGGCACCAGTCTAGAAACTTCCAATTTGCCATAATAGTCTTCTCTCCAGAGGTCAATCAGTATCAGCCAGTAACCTTTGTTGAGAATCTATCAGCTTTGAGTTATAACGTATCCTGATCATGATGTATGGAACTTGGAAGAAAAATATAGGGTGGGTTTGGGGACCCTCTGGGACATTTATGCACTAAAACCACACAGTTTGGGTTTGGGGACCCTCTGGGACATTTATGCACTAAAACCACACAGTTAGCACCCAGTCTCCATAAATGTGTGCTCTGGTAGACAACAGTTACATTGTGGTTCCCTGGAGTCAATGTTAACTCAGAATTAATGTCCTGTGTTCCCAAGGTTTCTGGTTATTTCCATTTCCACATTGCACATTCACCTAATCAAGGATTAAAGGTCCTTTTGGGGATGACAGGAATACAGATCATAGGATAATTTTTGGCAGTTATCAGGGGTTTTAATCAAGTTGACCTGGCTGTCTTCATTCAAAGAACTGTGGTATCATAAACTGACTCACTTCTTGGAATGGATTTAGGGGCCATGATAATTTATGTTTATGATTCAAGTGACACTTTGTTCACTTGACCTGTAACTTGTCAAGTAAGAACTCTGTAAAAAAACAAACAAACAAACAAACAAACAAATAGTGATGGGCTCCAGGTGGACTGAGGACTGAGCCAGAGTGACAGGGACCAGGCAGGCGGCATAAATGAGGGACTTGGCAACCAGCACTCCAATCTCCTGCGTCTTAGACATTGGCAGATGATTCAATCCTTTAAAGAACAACACTGCAGATGGGCTCCTACCACTCCCAGCTGGGAGTGGAATGTGGGACCATGTGCAGGTTAGTCTGTTCCAACACTTTCTTATGGTTCCCTCCTTCGATTGAGGCCACCAATGGAAAGGAGTCCTCCTAATGGTGCAGGCACCATGCACCTGCCCTTTGTCACATGTGGCTAATGAGAAATGGCACGGGTGCCAGCAGGTACAGGAGATGCAAGGGAAAGACAAACTCGTGTTTGAGGATGGCTTGACACTGGTAGATTTTTACCTATCCTGCAGATCCTGTATCCTTTGTATCACCGACGCTGATTTGGTGGCAGGGAATGGCTACAGAAAGAGGCTTGTTCGGGCTAGAAATTCTAATACTCTTCAAGGGATTGTAGCAGTTGAAAAAACTCAAATGAGTGAACAGTACTTCCCAGCCATACAGAAGTTTACTGTGTTGGACCTAGGGATGGTCTTGCTTCCAGTGGCCAGCCAGAGGGAGGCATCCTGCCTCATTATGAAGATAGTTCAAGAGCAAACCAAAGATCCCTGTAAAAACCCTTTTCTCATGAAGAAACAGGCTCAGATTTCTGAGCCCTACCTTCTTAGAACCGTGCAACAGATCCCAGGGATTGGAAAAACTAAAGCTCCCCTACTGCTTCAGAAGTTTCCAAGCCTCCAGCAACTCGGTAAAGCTTCCATCCAACAATTGGAGCCAGTGGTCAGACCAGCAGCAGCACAGCAAATTCACTCCTTCTTCACTCAGTCCAGGTGACAGGTGCCGCCTTCGTTCTGCAGTGTTCTTTTAGACCACAAGGGACAGGATCCTGTTTTCTTTTCATATTTCAAAGCCAAAACAAAAGAATTCCTCTCCAGCAACTAGTGGAAGAGTCCAGATTGGAGCCTGCCTGTTGTCCTGCCCTACTCTCTGGGTCCAGATATTTCAGCTAGTGCGTCCCTGGGGGCACTGCCCTCCTCCTGCTGGCCTGAAGAGGGCCGGTGGGGCTCTTCCCCAGAGTCCATTTAATTAGAGATGCTCAGACTCAGCAAGAATCCAGCTTGGGAAGATTTTTATGTGACCTTGATCTGCATGTATCATGAAAAAGGCTTATCAAGTTTCAGGTGATAGATAAGACTATCTGAAAGAAACAAATAATGAAGAACTGTGGGCCATAAGCCCCTGTTCCTGGTGGCAGAGCTGCTGTTCTCCAGGTCTGGGCTTTGAAAACTACTGCCAGTGTAAATAAACAGTGGGACTGCCTTTTTTCTTCCTCCCTTCCTCCCTCCCTCCCTGGTGGCTGCACAGTTTGTTTATAAGATGAGGCACATCTTCCGAACACAGAAAGCCGGAGTCTGGAGTTCCTATTTAAAGATAAAAAGCCTCGGGTGTCCCTGGTGGCACAAGGGAGTTAAGCACCACGCTATGAAGCGATCTGCAGCCCCTGCAGCATGAGTTCCATCCCCCGCCGGCCAGGGAGAAACCCACATGGTGAGGCAGACCTCTCCTGTCTCACCTGCTGCCCTCCTCAGCAGTGTGTTTCAGTCAGTCTGCCTGTTCTGCTCCCCACTCTGTCTCTGGTGAATCCTCTCACTGCCCCCGGCATCTCTGGCCTGTATCCCAGCCCTTGTATGTGTAAATAATCTTTATTAAAAAAATAAAAAAATAAAGATAAAAAGCGAGTGTGTGTGAGGGAGGAAAAGAATGTTTGTTAATGTATATCCCAGCAATGGGAAGATCTACATGGGGCAGCTGAATGCAGAGAGGAGAGCCAGGGACCAGGGATGCAGCCGCTTGTTCAGAAAAGTAAATACAATTAATGATGTGTTCAAAAAAAAAGATCAAGTAAGAATTCCGTAGGCTTCGTATCAATCTCACTTCTGGAAACACCTGGACAATGCCAATGTGCCCGAGTCAGGTGGATCTGATTGCTCCTTGTACCCAGCCATCTATTATGTTCATGAATGAAGAAATGTGTTACATCATTACTTGTAAGTGCTGAGTAAGCGGTATGCCTAGCAAACCATTAGTTTTTTATAAATCAATCTAATCATTATCAAAAGTCTAAAAGCATTCCATGATTTTTGAACCGTTTGCTGAATTTTCATGTTCAAATGTGACATTGACATTCCATGTAGAATGGAAAAGTCCTTTCCCTCCATAGGACATAGTCCAACCAACTCAACTGTCCGTCGTCACCTATGCTGCTTTTACACACTTGTGGATGATGCAACTTTTCTAGAATGTACTGAGAAAGGGTTATAACATTAAATGTGCTTGACTATTTATACATACATATGACTACATGCACACATGCTGTAGGCACCTGCATGGACCAGGAGTCCTTCTGGAAATGAAAACTTTACAGGAGTCTAGCACAGCATGTCAGCATAGCAATCTCTGGTAATCAGGCTGTGAATGTGGGAATAGAGACAGTGACCACATGAGCTGGGGGTCTCAGGGCTTTGGGCCCTGGTGAATGTTTGCCCCGTGACCAGCAGGGGGCACTGTGGGATGGCCCCTGGGCAATTCACTCAGAGGAGCCAGGGCCTGGGGGCTGAGTGCTTGGCTACCTGATGGAGATTGAACTGTTGTGTCCTCCCTGGTCCAGCACAGCCCTCTGAGCAGGGCCCTGTGTGTGGTGTCAACAGGTGCTTCCTCCCAGGGCTCTCCCAAGGGGTGAAGCAAACCCTCGTCTTTCTCAGTGTGGGGTGTGAGCTGAGCTGCAGCACTAAGGCTCAGGGAGGGCTGAGAAGTCCCTGGATGGAAGCCCGTTTGCATGCACAGCTCCTCCTGTGGCAGAGGGTGGGGAAGAAAAGGAGGCCTGGGGAGCCCAGCCCCATGTGGGGCTCAGGGGCTGTGAGCACCATGGCCTGGACGCCTCTCCTCCTCGTGATCCTCTCTCACTGCACAGGTGGGGACAGGCCTCAAGGACCAGGTGTCACTGCAAGCTTTTTTCAGTCTGTCTCACACAGTAATTCATAAAATTGTATCTGGTCCTTGTCCCTTCACCCATGAGTGTCTGTACTTGCAGGTTTCCTCTCCCAGCCTGTGCTGACTCAGCAGCCCTCCCTCTCTGCGTCTCCTGGAGCAACAGCCAGACTCACCTGCACCCTGAGCAATGACGTCAGTGTCCAGAGCAAAAAGATATTCTGGTTCCAGCAGAAGCCAGGGAGCCCTCCCTGCTATCTCCTGAACTACCACACAGACTCAGATAAGGGCCAGGGCCCCGGGGTCCCCAGCCGCTTCTCTGGAGCCAAGGACACCTCGGCCAACGCGGGGCTCCTGCTCGTCTCGGGGCCGCAGCCTGAGGACGAGGCCGACTACTGCTGCGTGGTCTCCCATGGCGGTGATTCTCACAGTGACACACACAGAAGGGGACATGGGACAGGAACCTCAGCCTGCTCACAGTCTTGTTATGTGGCCATTTTTAAATAATTGTGCATACGCACACTATACGTTGAAATACCTCTGAGTTCATAATGGATCTGCTACAATTAAACATTCAGTGTTTCTAAAACCTCAGGAAAAATAGCTAACATTAAGAATAAACTAACGAATGACTCTGGAAGGCTGCCAAGTTATTAATGTGATTAATCGTGAAGCTGCCCTTTTTCTCTTACCCAGATAAGGAAGAGGAGACTTCCCCACTCTCATTCTCAGTGTCCAGAGACCCACCCCCCGCAGGTGCACAGCCCTCACAGCGGGGACTCTGCTCCCCAGAGACACTTCCCTCCCAGGAAGTGGGGGAAGGAAGGGCCCACGAGATTGTGTCCTAAGAAACAGGCACGAAGAGGTGAGATGCCGTGTGAGGATCAGGCCCAGCAGGAATTTCAGACAGAGCTGCCCTGCGCCCTCACAGGCACCTCAGCCTTCAGTTGTGGAGTCGGGACGGGGGTCAGGCATAGGGAGTTGATGACTCAGGACGTGAGGACAGCAAACCTCGTTGTGGGACATGAAAGGGTAAGAGCGATTCTCCACAATGTGAACCAGCTGAGTCTACACCAAGGAAAGGGGTGAAATAGAGATGCTCTTAGAGCTGACACCACACCGGACCCCTGGGGACTCACGTGAGTGGTGTGCCCTTCTCCTGTCCAACAGCGCAGCGTGTGGGGTGGGCTGTGAGCATCAAGAGCAGGAGCTCCCCAATAATGGTCTGTGAGCCTCCTCTGGTGAAGCCTTTCATGAGTCCAGAATCCAGGTGACATTCTCCTGCCCAGGGAGCAGAAGAAACATTGGGGGTCCCCATGGCAATGTTACCTAAGCCTCAAAGGCATACTCCCTGCTGAGTGACCCAAGACAGATGTTACTGACCCCTAGATTCAAACTCATCCTCTGGCTCCTGGTGTCCACGCCACCTCTGTTATGAAGGCCATGTCCTTGTTGCAGACCCAACGGCTCAGTTTGGGCCCTGCTGGCACGGTAGCTGTGAGCTCCGGCAGGTCCACCCCCTTCCCTTGCTCTGTCTTCACAAGGGAAGTGACGTTTCTTTTCTTACTGTTCTCCCAGTGCAGACGCCTGCAGTTGCTCCCAGATACAAAATCCCATTTATGGTTGGCAAAGAAAACAGACGTCCCACCTCTGGGACCTGGGAGACCCAGGTGTCCTCTCCCAGCACCTGCATGTCCCCACTCTGGGTCCAGGCCTTCTTCTCCCCCCATTACCCTGACCGTGTAAGGACGCTGGGCTTCTCTCTTGCCCTGCAGACTGCTCTCCTGAGCTGCTCCTGCTCTCTGGTCACCAGGAGACCCCTCCCCACTGGGACAGGTCTCTCAGACCCGACACTCACTATATCACTTCACCCCTTATTCCTAATTCCTTTCCCTCATTAGGGATGATATTGGATATATATCACTTCTCTAAACCTAGAGCTCACCAGATAGAATGATTACCACTGTTACCAACACGTGCTCTGGGGATCGTAAGCCTGGACCTTGGCTCCAGTTCATGATGTTTTGGTTATGAACCAGGGACAATGTAGCAGCAAACCCAGTGGCCAGGGTTTGATCTTAAACTATTTGGTGACATAAATGTTACATTTTGCTACCTATTGGTCCTCAGTGACCTGAAAAAACAATGTTTCAGATGCGCACACCTTGGAAACGACCTACTCTTTTTTTTTTTTTTTTTTAAGATTTATTTATACAAGCACTGGGTACAGTCAGAAGTGCGGGAGGGTGAGAGAATTCACCAGAGCCAGAGCGGGGAGCAGAGCAGGCTGACTGACGAAGTACACTGCTGAGGGGAGCAGTGGGCGGCAGGAGAGGTCTGCACGCTCATGTGGGACCCTCACCCGGGGGCCTGGGATCGAACCCCAGTGCTGCAGAGGCTGCGGGCAGCTTTGCAGCCCAGCGCTCAACCGCTGTGCAACTGGGGAGTCCCCTGAAGCGACCTACTCTTTCTACTGCCTCAACTAGTGACAGTCAATGACGTGAGAACATCAGCACCCACCAGGAGAGCTGGGAGTGTGAAAAGCATTAGAAGATGTGCTGTATTCTGAGCCTAATAGGGGGTGCTGTGTACTGGTGCTGAGAGCTCAGGGGACCTGGATAGGTAGGCTCAGAAAATGCGTCATTGACTCTTGCATACTTGGGACAGCAGTGCCCGCCCTGCCCTGAGCCACATGGGCACTCAGCACTGACTACTCCCTGCCTCCTACTTCATCTCCTCCCATCTTGGAGTCATTGCCCAAGCTTATTTTGCAGAAAAGGATGATGGACCATCACACTGCAGGGATAAATGTTCACGAACTGTGATGGGTGAGGCTATCTGGACACAGCGCAGCAGATACTTGGAGATGGAAGAGTCTCAATTCCAACAACAAGACCTCCACAAGCAGAGCTCTGGGGCTTCCCTGCCAGGACACAGGCCCCTCCCATCATAACCAAAGGCATTCATTTCACTACAGGATTCGCTGTGGTGGGGTGTGAAAGGATGTGATGGGGGTGACATGTCCACTGCCTTTCATCCTGGCACCCTGCACAAGCAGTGGGCCATCTGTTCTTTCTGTCACCTCCCCTTAATTCTAGGGTCCTGGGCCAGGCTGTGCTAGACCTGTTGTCTTGCACAAAGTCTGTGTGTGTGTGTGTGTGTGTGTGTGTGTGAGAGAGAGAGAGAGATGAGTGAGCACCATCTTCTCTAATACTCTTCTAAGCCAGAGGCATCATGACAGAGTTTTACTAAGTATGCAAGGAGCTATTCCAAAGACATAAAAAAGAGGCCATCTTTTATGTCTTTAGTAAATTAGTGCAAACTAATTTACTGATTGTAGAAAAACCAGGACATCCAGTCTCACAAGAACTGTGTCATATTTGAACATTAAAGGACAATATCATTCGTCATTATAAGTGTAAAAATGCCTCACTTTATTGTAGAGACCGTGTTATAGCAAGAAGGATCTATCTTGGCCTCCAAGGAGGATTTGGGTTGAGGCTCAGGCATTTGAGAAGTCTCAAATGGAGAATATGGATTTTGAGGGAGAGCAATCAGTAGTGTAAGTGAGGCATATGTCAGACATAGGTCCGTTCAGGAAAGAACTTCAGTGCTCTCAGCAGTGGCGTTTTGACACGCTGTAGGAGAAAAGGATACATTTTTTGGGTGCCATGCTGTGTAACTCCTGGATTCTGGAGCCTGAGCAGGGGGACAGGCATCAGCCTGGACCTTCAGATGGAAAAAGCACAGCCCAAAGAAAGCACATCCCTGGGTCAGGCAGACTCACCCAGAGCCACCAGGGGGAGCAGTTCTCTGTTCCTTCCTGCCTTGGGATGGCCTCCTGGGCCCTGGTTCTGTCATTTGCAACTTTCCAATCCTCAAGTCACCCCTACCTCCTGATTGCCACCCAGACTCCCCCACCAGGAAAGAATTGGTTTGGACCCTGGGGCCCTGAGGATAACTGAGACAAAATGCAAAGGTGACACAGGGCTCCCACAGAGTTCGGGGGCCTTTCTGGCAACTTTGATGATGCAGTTTACTCATGATGAACATTGAATAAATGTATTAGTATTACAACTGTCATTTTCTTTGTATGTTACTTGCCTGCTCTTTCTCATTTATTTCAGGGAGCATAACCAATGGAAAATCAACATAAAAATTGTTGTTGCAACTGTAAAAGAGAAGAAAAACAAATAGCAAAGAGAAATCACTAGATACATGATTGATGATGAATGGATGGATGGATGGATGAATGGATGGATGGATGGACGGATCTATCGCTCGATCATAGGTTGTTTGATAAACAGAGAGTAGAGAAATAGATAGATGAATTTGATGATGTTTCTAAACTTCAAGTTTAGGAAAGAATCTTCTAAATTTCCAGAGATCACTAAGAGAATTCTGTTCACTTATAAAGAAATACATAAAGTCACACATTCTTGGAAATATTAGATGCAGAATTGAAAGGGACAGGTTCTCAGATTTCTGAAGAGGGAAAGATTTAGGTTGATTATATTAAAGCAAGTTATTATTTAAGACTGAAAAAAAGAGGAAAAGAGTAAAATTTCAGAAATTAACTGTAAATTTAAGATTATCTAAAGATTGGTACATCTCGGTAATGAAATGGAAATGGTGAAGCAATTTAAAGTACAATAAATTTAGAAATAGAGCAATATTTAAATAATGTACAATGTTTTGCTTTCAAAACTGAATTTTTACTAAAAAATAATGATTCAACTAACATTATGGGCTAAAAGTAAAGCCAAAGACTTTGCTTAAAAAAAAAAAAAAAGAAACCAAGCAAGATTTAGATGGGTTTGGAGATGGAAAAGAGTTAGAAGACTATGGGACACCTTTTCCTGCTTCTTTTTAAGAATACCATTTTAATGTGTCTTTCAAGGCATGGGTATATATATATATATATATATATATGACTCATAATTATAGATCAATTTTCCATTAGAAAACAGGCAAACATAATTTTTAGTACCATTGGACACACCTAAGAGTATACAGAACGTATTCTGGAAAAACAAAATATGAAAGTAAGATGCCAAACAAACACATATATATTGTATATGATAAACTTTTAAGAGAAAAAAGATACATTTGAGGAGAGCGTACACATGAGTTGAATACATAGCACACAGCAAAAACTAAAGGATGTTGAAAGTCAAGATTAAGAAAATATTTCATATGATTTAGAGGAATGAGAACATGAACAATCATGTATCACAATGCTTATGTCAGATACCTTCTAATTGAAATTAAAAATTTTAAAGTAGACCTGGGCTTTTCAAGCGATTATAGGGACAATCTACAATAAAGCTGTGGGTAGTGATAGAAAAATAATGATATACAGATGCACGTAAAAATGTTTGAAACTCAGAGAACTATAATATGATATGCTGTTAGATATCCATTAACAAACTCCTTTATATACTCGAGAGCCGTATCAAATCAGTACAGAAAAAAATATAATAATTTTTATGTTCCTATTAACTTCTTTTGCCCTGGAAAGATAAAACACATTTTTGTCTGCTTTGGGATATTTGCAAAAACTCTCTCCAAAAAATGTCTGCTTCCAGTTTTATCAATGAACTTCATGACATCTTTGTCTTCTTCTATTTAGAAATTTTAATGTCAATTTTTACAAGATTACTGTATTTCTTTCCTTGAGTTCCATTTTCTCTTACCTCATGATTTGTCTTAAGAGAAAGCTGGGGCCTCTCCTGGTGGCGCAGCAGTTGAGTGCTGGGCTGCAAAGCTGCCCGCAGCCTCTGCAGCGCCGGTTCGATTCCCAGCCCCCGTCGAGGGTCCCACATGTCACACAGACCTCTCCTGCCGTGCCCGCTGCTCCCCTTAGCAGTGTACTTTGGTCTTTCTGCCTGTTCTGCTCCCC